GAAATCCTGGATTAAGTTTCGTTTCCAGCAAAGTATGTGCGGAAATAATATAGCGTCATCGATACCACAGCAAAAATTAAGTGACATATATTTATGATTTCATTTTAAATCTGCAATTCGCCGCTTGAAGTCTAATTGGATTCCCGGCTGATTCCTTTGATGCGTAGAGGGTGGCAATAAATCATTTTGTAGACAGCTGGCTAACATGGTGTCAAAAACCCTTGAAGTTACGACACCTAAATGTTTTTCTGGCGAACAATTTCTGAGAGCGTTGTTTGAAAATTACACGGATTATACGATTTGGGGATTACATCCCAGTTGTTAGTAAAGGCTTTGCTCATCGAGAATTGCCTTTAAATGGGTTGTTCAGTCATTACATACTTATCACAGATACGAAGTTCAGAAACAGTAAATGCAATTTAATAGTTAAAGCATTTTCACTGATGTGACTTGACTTATGATTTTGTGGAGAGGAGGATTTCTCGGAACTTGTATTTGTCAAGTTATCAAGTGGGAATGTCAGAACCTTCTCGAGTTCTCTGAGGTACTTATACTTGACTCAAGAGGGATTAGTTTGATATGGTTTTCCTTTCCTGACCAACACAGTAGTTTCGACACAATAATCGCTTCTCTGTTTACATAGAAAACAGTTTAAGTGTTTTAATCCTTCTCAGACTTTAAGGCTCCGTCCCTTAGATGTCTCACTGTGTTAAGCTGTCAATGAAGCTTGGAATGATTCGAAGAAAACGCAGATTGAAAAAAGGGATGTATTTGAATACGAAAGTCAAATCTAATTAAACGGATTTTGCTAAACGCAGGTGTCTTTTCAAAAACAATTAAGAAGCCAGTTTCCTGGCAATTACGGTAACTACCAAAGGACCAAACATCCTAATTGAAGTCGACATACTAAGTAGTTGTTTACGTCCTGAAGTCTGTAAGTCGTTAGCCGTTATGCTACCTCCCAAGATTTTGTTTTTACATGACCTTATCTCTTTTAGCACCTTGTTTTCTCAACACGCAGAGTGAGAGGTAGCTCTGAGTGGCTGAATAGTTGTGAATAGCTGCCATTCACAACTATTTTCCATCTTTCCACTTCTCTATCCTGCGTTGCAATCGTTGGAAGGGTGGGCAGACGTTTTTGAGCGACGAACGTCAACCGGAACTGAACTTTTTCTATTCTTGGGCAGTGGTATCTCCCAATTTTTGGGCAAATCGATTATCGTGAATCGTCTCTATAAGAGTGAAGACTCTTATCAATACAATGTTGGTAGCGTCAGGCATTATTAAACATGGAAAATTCCTCAGTTCCGGTTGACGTGCGGCGCTGAGGGGCGCGAGTAGTTACCTCACCTTAACCGGATTTTTCTTTCAAATGGTAAGCACCTGCATATATAGGAGACTGGTAAGCACCCTTCTGTGAACCATTGGAGGATTGTGACTGAGTTGCTAGCGTCACACGTACAGGTGGCCCAAGCTCACTACAGGAACGCGGGCTCTTGTTTGAGAGCAGTGTTGTGTTACAAACGGTTATTTACAAAGGCCTGTATGGGGATGTAAACGGTTTTTGTTAAAACAGAGAAAAATGTTACGTTTTTAAATAAAATCGACTTACGTTATTGCCTTGTTGTATTCTTTGTTGTTTGCCCGCGTCTCAGGCCGTTTTGAAGCGCTAACTCGCCGAAAACGCTTCAAAACGGCCTAAGACGCGGGCAAACAACAAAGAATACAACAAGGCAATAAGGTAAGTCCACTTTTTTAAAAAACATAACATTTTTTTCTCTCTTTTAAGAAAAACCGTTTACATCCCCATACAAGCTTTTGAAGCCTGCGTAGCAAGCGTTTCCGCGCGATTTCGTCGAGAAAGTTGGGAAGAGAGCAAAAAAGGAATGACGGGGGAGGGGGAGGGGGAGGGGAAAGAAGGAAGCGCACGATTTTGAATAACCCCACGATTTTGAAAAACTGCGTTCGCCCACGAAAGCAGCTTCTGATTGGTACGGTGCTAGTAGTATTGATTGCTTAGCACTCGAAACATCAATCAAACCAGGTATGCTTTGTTTATGAGCGTCACAGATCTGGTCTCATCTGGTCTCATCTTCTCCCCTCCCCCTCCCCCTTCCACCTTTTTTTTATCGCTTCCGCTCTAACTTTCGTGCAATAACTCCTGATTGGAAACGCTTGCTTCGCAGGCTAAAGCCTTTTTAACTAGAACCGTTTGTAACACAACACCGCTCGCAAGCAAGAGTCAGGTCCGCGTTCCTGTAGTGAGCTTAGGCCACCTGTGCTAGCGTTTGAAATCACAGGATTTTTAATAAGCCCGGGGATACTCAACAGAGTTTTATACATTGTTGGGAATGCTCCGCTCCGAGGTCCAATATCCTTAGAGGACCCTAGAGGCCTGAACCCTTTTATGATACCATTTTTGACAGAGACGTGTACCCTTTTCGTACTCCTTTTCAGTTGACAAATGGTACCCCTATCACATACCTACTTTAGATCTTTACATCCCTTTTAACTGCTGTAAATGTACTGCAGTATTTTAAATATCAATAGATCACAAAACCAGAAAGTTTTCTCGACTTTTTGACAGCCACAAAATGCATCTGGTATAGCTCTTTTGGGCCTTTTTACCGACCGAAATGACAGATTTCCCTACCATTTCATATACTTCAATAAGTGAAATCCCTACCCTTTCATACGGACCTAAGGCTTGAAAAAGTAACCCCCTTTCCTGGCGGAGCCTCCCAGTACGGGTCATTATAGGGAGTACCCCCAGGGATTTGAAGCCATTTCAGTTTTACATGACATTGATCTGTTTCATTTCTGTCTGTCATCTTTATCCTGTTTATCTAACAGGGTCATCAGGAAATCTTGATGAAATGATTTCCAACAAAAGAAACAACGTAACGTATGCGGCTTGATGTTTTTTTCTTCAGGACGAAGACGGGTAGTTTGACTTGTGTTTGGTGGGTTTCATTGACAGAAAGGCTATACAAACGGTTGCCGTATCCCTGCAAAAACCGACAATCATATGACTGTTTCAAGATCTTGGCAAACTTCCTAGCCAACTAGCCAAGCACTGACTCAACCATAACGCCGCAGTGATTTTAGCCTGCGTAGAAAGCGTTTCCAATCGAGTTATTGAGTTATTCCTCCTATATTCCTTGTTTGTTTTGCTGTCGTCCCAACTTTCTTGACGAACTCGCGCGGAAACGCTTGCTACGCAGGCTACAGTACCTACAGTGATTTAAAAAGACAAACATTTACGTTCAACCTGCGAGAGAGGAAAGTCGCGAGAAAGGGAATTCAGTTCTCTTTGATTCGTACCCTCCTTTCCTACAGAATTAACTCAGAACTACAAATATCACGAGATGCAACGTCTTCGGTGCAATCATGACATACAAGTTTTATTAACGAAAAAAGAAAATACTTCTGCAAGAGTATAAAACGCACACTTAACGGAAATTTCTTCCCTCTGTATTAGGAAATTGATTCGCTGCATTTTTTGTCCTTGTTCATGCATATTAGACAATGAAATATCTTACAGTTAACTTGGATAATACATCAGTATCTCTCTATTTCATTTAGTTAGTTATCTATACGTCATTTTTATAACGATCGTTCATGCATGTCCGTCTGAATCGGATCTATAAAGCAGCACGGGCAATATAATTAAGTTCAGCGATATTTTCATGCTATGAAAAAATTCTGAAAAAGCAACACAAATAGTTCTAAATCGTCTCAGCCTTTTTAAAAGTAAAATTCACGTTTAGTGCCAAGCTGAGCAATGACCATACAAAACTACAAAGCAAAGGTTTCATCTCCTCCTTAAGCTGCATGAACATGACCTGCATGCTTTCTCAACAATAAAGCAAATTTTTAAGATTATAAAAGTAAAGAAATATCAAAGTCACGGCAAAAAAGAACTTGTACATAAGAATGAATTAATAATGCGTTTCTTATAATAATCAGAAGACTCAAATATCTTCAGTGCAACAATTGTCGTAAACTGCTGGTAGTCTTATAAATAATCTCTGATTTCAATCAGAGCTGTACAATTAATGTCCAAATAAAGGCAACAAAATTGTTGGTTTACCAATCCATTGGTCTTTTAGTTCCAGTTTATGATTGGTCAGTATTTTCTTGAACTTTTTTCAAATTCCTTGACCATGTCGCTCAGCTTGTGCACAGCTTCGTATATACCCTCGCCATTCTTAGCACAGGTTTCTTGAACATGCCATGGGTTCGCTTTATGCTGCAAGAGGGACAGTTGTTCAGCAATCTCGTGCGCCTTGAGGGCTCTCGGAAGATCTTGCTTGTTGGCGATGACAACCACAGGCACACGTTCCATTTCAACACTTTCAAGGACGCTGAAAAGTTCTTGCCGGGCTTCTGACATTCGCTCCAAATCAGAGCTGTCTACCACGAATATCAAGCCCTGTGTGTTCTGGAAATAGTGTCGCCACAATGGTCTGATCTTCTCTTGGCCTCCAACATCCCAGACGGTGAACGTGACACCCTTGCATGGGCTCACAGTCTCCACATTGAATCCAATTGTAGGAATGGTGCTTACTGTCTCGTTTAGCTTGAGTTTGTACAGAATGGTGGTTTTACCAGCTGCATCAAGCCCTACCATGAGGATACGAGCTTCACGATTGGAGAAAGAACGATAAAGATCACTCATACTTTTGAAAAACTGAGAGAGAGTGATTCCCATAGTCGTTTAAAATCTCTCTTTCAGTTGGTCTTGTCTTGTCTTCTACTGCTTGTTTCTGATATCTTGATGTATTGATCTTTACAACTAACAAGTAGCTCATTTTATACCTTTTAAATTTCATAACTCGCTGTAATTTGGGTTATAATTTTTGTGTACCCCACTTTTGCAACGTGGATCCGTTTGACAAGTCTACAACTGACGTCATTTTATGCTAAAAATAGCCTCGTTACAAAAACCTCGATGTCACACACTGTGACCCAGTCCTCCGGCGCATTGCATTTTCAAGATGGCGGCTCATGTGGAAGAAGAGCCTGATTTACCTGAAGAAGTTACTGAATCTCTTGAGACTTTTCACGAAGCTTTGGGTAAAGTTGAAGATGTTTTCAAGCCTCTTCTAGAGACCTCAGTTGATGACCTAAAGGAAAAGGTTTGAAGTTCCCTTTATAAAAAAACATATAGCGTACATGAAACCCTCAACTTGATTTTGATAAGCGGAAACTTTACGTTGTATAGCTTTCATTTTAATATCGTATCTTGACATTTTTTAAACGTTAAATTAAATTTTTGGTCACCTACGCTCTTAACTAATCCTGAAACTTCAAAACTTCAAGGAAAACAAGGAAACGGTTTCTTTTGATCACGAGACCAGGCTCTGATCGCATATTCGTTCAACACTCTTATTAAAATTAATGTTGTCTTTAGCTGCGTTGTATGAAGTGAAGAAATCAACTCAAAAGAACGTTAAAGGTAAAACAAAATACGAAGCTGGTGAGGGTTATTCTCAGAAAAACAGAGAGATCGACACCCTGCAATTTGTAGTCACATGTACAAAAGTATTCTTAAAAGTTCTTACAAGGTTTATGACTCTTTTATGTTTGTGGCACATAAAACACGTCAGAGCCGAAAGTTGAATTGATTAAAGCGGGAACAGCCTGCAAAAACAGCCATCTCTCCTCTCTCCTCGCCGCTAGGGATGTTTCACCAGGAGAGCCACGTCTGTGCCTCAGCAACAGAAATTCCAACTGATGAGATATAGGGCGCTTTCCATTTACGAAAAAACCCGGAAATTTCGGTGGTAGCAAAAGTGGAATTTCCGATTGGTAAAAAGTTGTTCCATTTGGTCCCCGCTGGCGGGTGCCCGAGGGACCTGTTTCACCAGGAGAGGACCACCTTTTAGATTTTCCACTTTTTCTGTTTTCCTCAACCGACGAAAACGTGTTCCATTTACCACCAACAGAAATTCCAAACTGATAAATGGAAAGCGCCCATAATCTGTGTGAAAACTGGTTGGGAGCTCTGATTGGTCGACAAAGTAGTTATATTGTTTTAATTATTGTTTGCGATTGACAGACAAAAGACAAACAGTCATAATGGTACAATGTAAATGCAATGAATCTATGACAAAACGGTCAATTTTCGTGGGATATATTTTTCTTTAGCAGAAACATTTGAGCTTTTCTGGAGCTCATTTGTTGAAGGAAAAAAAGAAACAAAAAAAGAGGAAAAAAACTTTACCATTAGATTATCAACCAGGAGAATATATTTGAACAAACTGACATTTGGAACCCCATGACTACCAGATTTATTATGTAAACATCAATATGGAGTTTCTGTCACTGAGCTGTAAACGTCTCTCCTGGTGAAATGTCTCTAGCGGGGAGCAAGGACAGATGGCTGTTTTCACAGGCTCAGATGAGGATAGCCTAACTGATATCTTCAATCTTATAACAGTCAAGTCAGTGTTAAATTTAGTGAACCTTCATTGGGCTTCCAAAACTACAGAATACAGGGTCTTATTTGTTGGTTCTTTTTCATTTTTGATAACACTTGGAGAACAAGTCCTATTTTAACTTTTTATGTTCTTTTTTAGATGAATCCACTGGAAAGTGCAAAACTTGACCTAGTAGTTGCTTATGCTATTAACTCAATGTTCTGGAGTAAGTTTTTTTTGAAACTACTTTTCCAGCTTCTTAACAAAAGCCTTCCTTTACTTACACAGTTAAAGAAAAAAACTGCCTTTAGCCAAAAAGAAAATAGTATAAATGTGGGATAATACTACCAAAAAGGTTTAGTTGAGCAGGATTAACAAAACTTCCAAAGTTTCAAAAGTCATAACTACATGTGTACAAGGAAAAGCTGATAAGCTGGAATCATGAGTTTTTTATATACTGTAAACTACTACTTATAAGCTCCCCCAGTTATAGGCATATCTGCCTGTAAACAAAAAAAAGGCATCCGATCATAACCCCCCACCTCCCCTTCGTAGATAAAAGCACCCCTCCAAATGTATATAAATGAATTTGATTTATTATTATCTTAGTTATAAGCCCCCTTGGATTCAAGCCTCTCCATAGGCAAGTCCTGATCCTAAAACCCCTTATGAAGATGTACAATGTGTAAGCCCAGTACTTATAAGCGGTAGTTTACAGTATCCCATGAAATTGAATTCTATGGAGTGTTGTGTAGAATTTTTCATTGTGAAAATAATATATGTGTGACTCTCTTTTTGTAGTGTATCTTACCACTCAAGGTGTAAACCCACGTGAGCATCCTGTGAAATCTGAACTGGTAAAGTCATTTGCCTGGAATACACAGAGCTGCATGTAGTACCATTATATCATTATTTATTATAACAAATAAAGAAGCCTCAACTGTGCTCTGTTCTGTTCTAAAGCAGGCAGAAAGAAAGATGTGTATCACATTCCTTTTTAGAATGGACCAAATGTCATGATGTGATTGTTTTTTGAATGGCTAAGAAAGATGATTATGAGTTCAGACCATACAAAATAGGTGCGGGGCAGCAAAGTTTTAGTTTTAAAAAATTTTAAATAATGGAGAATATTGGTACAATATCACTGGAAAAAGGTGCTGGAGCACACAACTCATGATTCCTTACTAATCCTCACAATAAGACTATATTTTTTTAACACTATTTTTTCTCATGCTCTTTTCATCCCTTTGTATTGTAGTATTGTTTAAGCTGTATCCTGTAGGTTGTGCACATCGGCAGGTTTTGAAGGTCATAGAAGTTCTTTAACTTGTTTGCTGCCATTTGTTGTCATTGTAGGACAGGATAAAGAAGTACATGGGGAAAGTAAAAGAAGCAACAGAAAAGAAAGAAGGTCAGTATCTCCTCTGATCCCTTAGAAAAACTAGCAATTTATCTGGAATCTACTTAAATTGAATAAACAATAAGTGTAAAACTAGAACTTCCTGCTTTACAAGGACGACATTGTGTAATTAAAACCCCCCTAACTCTGGGGACTGTGGCAACAAATACTTGATTCGAAATTTGTCAGTGATGATGCCTGTCTTAAATGATCCCCTAAACTGTTTAACAACACCACTCCACTATAGCTGAAACTCTTTTTGAAGGTTTCATTGCAGGAAAGTGGTACTGCTAGCGTGTTTACCATATTTCTTATGTTACAAGGCTTAAGTCCATACGATTAATAAATTTTGAGCTCAAATTGTCAAGAGTTTCATTCTTATAAAAAGTCTTATACATAAGAATAAATAAATCAAACTTATGTGGCAGCTCAAGTTTATGCCAATTAAGTGACTGAAAGAGCTCATCCAGGCAAGCATTGTAATTTGATGTTGTGATTATACAAGCAGCGCAGTTCTGTAGTTTCTGCAGCTTCTGGGAGAGGCCCTTATTACAATTTCCCCAAACTGTAACTGAAGTGAGGCTCTACATGTACAAGAGCATGATAAAATAGTCACGAGGGACAAAGTTTCTGACGTGCTTAATTGCACTGATGCCTGAAGCAACCTTAAGTTTTTAGAAATCATCTGAATATCGTCATCCCAATTCAGGTTCTGGTCAATTTTTTTCCCAGCCACTGGGATAATTGATATCAGGCTATAATTGGTCATATCTGAACGTTTTCCTTCATTCTTGTAGAGTGGAGTAACTCTTGGGCTTTCCACTCATCTGCAAATATTTTCTTTTTAATTGACAAATTGAATAGACACGACAATGATTCAGAAATCAAATCACGACACTCTCTCAGAAGCTTGCCAGAAATATTGTCAAGACCTGTCGCTTTCGATTTACAAAGTTTAGATGTACTGTTTTGTTTACAGGTAGGGGGAGCTTATAAGTGGCAGTTTGAGGGTTGATTGAAGAGAGGGAAGAATTATTATTATTATTATTTTCAATCTGTTTTGTCATAGCATCTCTAAGGATCGATAAGGGTGCTGCTAAGAGATTTGTGAAGAGTGCATTGTGGAATCCATCAGGTATCTTAGAAAGTAACTTGTTATAGTGACACCTACGTTTTGTGCATACATGTGTTGTACTTAAAGTAGAACAATGTCTACAGTGACAGATAGCTCTTGTTCCTGCATGGAAACCATATCAGATAGGGCTTTTATGCACAGTGGTTTCTGTATCGAAGCAGAATTCGCGGCTCCTATCTTGAAAGTGGATCATCACTAACTGCTACCCTTCGCGGCAGTATGAACAGGTGTTCATGTATGTAGACAAATTATTAAACTATCCAGTATAGCAGAAACAGTAACCAGATGTCATATGTCTGCAGTTCGACTTAACAAACAGTTTTTACTTAACTACTGCAGTTTGGAAATACGTGTGGACAGCGTTAAGTCTGACTTTTCATTCAAAGTCTACTGGCTTCAGTTTGACCAAGCCAGGTCCCTAAAAAATATGCAAATTAGCAACTGAATGCCATAACTGTTGCATCCACAACTGAGATGATCTTCTGTTATTTAATTGCTTTGACTACCTTGTACACGTAAGTTGTTGTGTTTTATTGCAGGCAAGAAGAGGAGCCCGCAATCCTAATCTCCAGGTTGTTATTATGCATGCGTCGCATGTATGTAACCAGCATTCGTTTAGATTTCCACTAAGTATGAGTGGAATGCACAAAATGCAATTTGATCCCTCACGTTTCGACTTCCTACCCCTCATCATCTGATCACGTGCGTTTTGATCAACTGTCACGTGAAACTAACGCAAAGCACAGCCTTGGAGCAAAAGCGTTTGGACCTCTGATTGTTGTTGCCTGCACTCCCTAACCTTTGGTTATTACCTAGTTTAGAAATTATTTTGTTTGGCTTACAGATAAAAAGGATTCTTCACAAGATGGAGGAGAAACTTCAAGCAAAGAAGGTGAATCAAACATTTGTCAGTATCATTTAAATCAATGAGGGTGCCTGCCGAACCTCGTATATTAAAGAGGCCACAAAATGTAAATCAATGTGCATTATTCATCAAGCGTGAGATCCCTATTGCTTGGATGCTCATCTTGTGTTGGGTGTGTGCCAAGTGTGTGTTTTTATGGGCCAAGAAGAATTGATAATGGCGTTATATTTGGCCTTATTAATAGTTTCATACCAATTTACTCTTCTTAGCCATCGTGCACTCCACCAGAGTGTAAAGTAGCCGGTCTGTTGCCTTCTCTCCATTCATTTGTGTCCAGTCATCATAAAGGTCCAGGTTTCAAATTTCAGCCAAGCCTAAATTTGTTCAGGTTTTTTTTAACTATACTCAAATTGAAAACATCAACTGTAATTACCACTAGCCGTGATTGCTGTGAGCTGGAGCAAACTAAAATCTTTTTCATCGGGAACTTGTACTCATGACCCTCCACACGCCAATTAAATACTCTTGCTAGTTCATGATCATCATCATCGTCATCATCATCATCATCACCATTATTATCATCATCATCATCGTTATCATTGTCATCTTCTCTTCGTCAGTGTCTTCTGTATCTTCCTCCTTCTCCTCCTCCTCCTCATCATCATGAAAAGGAGGAGGATGAGCCTCATCATCATCATTATCAATAATTTGCTTTACTGAAATACAAGAAGTTTTTAGCTTGTCTTTGGCGAGACCTCTCCCGCTTGTGGGAGAGGCCACCTCGATTTCCCTTTTCTTACAAATAGCCTTGTTATCTAATAAAATTATTGCAAGAAAGTCGTTAAACTAGGAATTCATCGTAGTAAGGCAATTATGAATTAGCATTGTAAATCAATACTTGCTTTCGAATCCAGTCCTGGTGTTCATCCTGTTATATGCGTGTTACAATTATGGCTCGCCTGTCAGTCGCTGTTCGAGAAAAAAACTGGAATCGAGCCTTAAAAGTGGGGCAGCATACCGGTCTACTTGTACTGACTGTTACTAATATCCTTTGCCCATAGCTAACAAGAATGCAGAAAAACGCAAGATTGAAGACAAGTCCACCACGCCTTCAGAGAAAAAGAAGAAGAAAAAGAAGTAGTAGTTACAGAAAGCCAGGACGTGTGTAAATAACTAAATAAAATATGTTTTTGTCACATATTTGATCCTCTGCTGATGTTTCTGTAAGTACATTGTAAATAAGTTGCAAAAGGGGCTTGTTAAAGTGATCTTTATTTACAGTGCTTAGCAAATCGTGCCAGTTAGTCCTACGTTCACACCCGGGGGGGTGGGGGATACTCTGTTATATCCAGGGTCTGGAAAAACCCTGAAAACCACACCTTGTGCAGTGGCACGGCTTTCCCCCTTCTACCCAGGCAAATTGCCCATGTTCCTATTCAAATATTTTGGTCTGAAAAGGGTTACGTGTTCCAGGTAGCATGCTGAACACTTCCACCCGAATTACCGAAGTGTCCCCCTCGTATTATCACCACAGCAAGTGCCCGTCATGGTACTGCTACAAAAATTGTAAACTACGAGTAGTCCCTCATTTTCCCTAAGGATAGCAGAGCAAGCAAAGCGCGAGCGCGGGTGAAAATCACCCCACCCGAGAAAGGCGAGACGCGGCGGGAGAGAGAAAGGCTTTGTCTGTAGTGCCTCGTATTTCTCTCTCCCCTCTGCGTCAACCCTTTTTCGCGTTAGGTGATTTTCACGTGCGCTCGTGTTTCGCTCGCTCTATTATCCCTGAGGGAAAATGAGGGACTACTCATAGCCTACAAAGATTGGTACGACCCTTTCACTCGAGTTGTGTCAACGTGTAGAGAGCATTCATTTTACATGGAGGAGAAAATTTAATCTCATTAACAGGTTTTCACTGCCAATTAGTGCAAGACTGGTAGAGTAATGTAATGGAGGGATGATGGGAGGAAACAAAGACTTTCTCATTTCCTCTTTTTATTTGGGAGATTTTGATATAAAAAAATATACCGTACACGCAGAATTGTATTTCTTTCAATGCTTACATGAACTCTCTTTCTTATTACTTCTGGTTGATGCCTCGTCAAGTTGACGGAAAGACAACTGACCTCATAAGGCTCGATCTCTAATGCTGTCCAGCTCAGTGTCCCGCAACAGTGTCTATCATGTAATGTAGATGTCGGACTTCCTTTTTTAGCCCTCTCACCCATGTTATAATCAGCTATTGCGCTGGAAAAAACATGTCCAAAAAGTGAAATTCTTCTGTTTTGAATGTTACTTAATGGTCACTTTTACCATAAAGTCCACTATGGGTAATTAACCTGCCCTTCCAGGATATTTTTTTTAAGTATGCAATTCTGTTGGTTTGGTTTAACACCATCAAATGTTGGCACCATTCATTACTCCACAAACTTTTCAACCCAACCCAAAAGTTTTCCTCAACTTGCTGCGCTTTTCGAATGAATGATGATTTTTGTCTACCAAAAAGTTTTTAAAGTTTGTATTCTCGCTTTTTCACACTTTTGACTTTAGTCGTGACGTGCGGGTGAAGTGCAAAAGAGGCTATTGTAGTCTTCCCATATTCATTAGTTTTGTCAAACTGATAGTGGTGATCAATATCAATGAGCAATCAAATGTTAGGAGTCAAAATGGTTCTTGTGCTAGCAATTCGGCGTTAACACTAGTTTTCCTCCACTTTCTTCGCTTTTATTGTCTACCGAGAAGTTTGGAAAGTTTGCACGTTTCTTTCCCGGTACTTTCAAATTTATTCAGGGGCAAGCTTGTGGTAATTCACACGGCAAAAGTCCTTTTTCAAAAATACCATAATACGCTTTGTTGTCCCTCCAAAGTTTTGCATTAGCATTGTTTTCAATTTCTCTTGGGGCGAAAGGCCTATTGTCTACTCATTCACTAGCCAGTTTTGTCATCGATTTTTCAAGTTTTAATCAAGTCGGCATTTTTTTGTTCTGAATGCGTCTAATTAAAGCGTTAGTCTAATTGTTCATTGATGAACTGAGTGCTATTTTTCTCAATGTATTGTCAAGTCCCATGCTTATCCACTAGTATACTGTTTTCAACCAAGAGCTACGTTATGCAATTGAGCGAGTCGGCAAACTTCTCAAACGTTTTTTTTAATGTGACCAATCTATGCTTTGATTGCCCATTGTTGAACATAGAGTGCGTGCTCTTCTCATATACAGTTTCAAGAAAAGATTTATCAAAAACATTTCTCACACTGGTTTGAATTTTAATCTCGCGACCGTATAAATTGAGACACAAATTTTAAGTTATTTAACTGCGTTTAAAGCCAGAAACCTCCGTACTTGCTTTGCCTGCGGTGAAGTGAAGAGCAAACTCAGCTAGGTGATCTTTGGTCTGGAATAAGATTCTCTATTGCCTCCTCGAAAACAACAGGTTTGTTCTTAGTTCAACTTTAACTTGTGGTTACGCTATCGCTTACTTTTTTTCTGAAAAAAATTAGAAGTCAATTTAAAGAAACGGTGATAAGCGTCCAAATTGCTTTAACGGTTCTTACTGGTTACTTTCTTACTTCAGAAAGAAATTATTCTTTTAGACTTTACATAACGGATTTTCTGTCATAATTCTGTCCTGAGTGTTATTTAATGTGTCGCCCGAAGTTACCTGTAAACTTGCATGGTCCGTTTGTTACGTTGGCTCGATGAATGTTGAACTGGAGGGACAAAAATGTAATAAAGGCTTACGTGAAGTCAACAAGATAAAGTGGAGTTGCGATTGTTAGGGTCAAATGGGCCTATTTTCTTGATGCTATGTAGTTAGAATTTTCCGCTGTGATTAACTTCGAAGTGTTTAATTCTGTAGACTCCACTTACAAAATAAACATCAAACTTTGGACAGTTTTTTATTACTCTGACTCAGACTATATACTTTTATATTTGATTAACCGCGACCTTTATTAGTTAATGTACGATTTGAACGTAAATTATGCTTTTATGCCGCGCAACCGGGATGCAACAAACCAACTGTTGGCAATTTTGGCGAAGAGTGCTTAGTTTGCGCCGGGCCGGGAGAGAATTACAATTCTTCCCGGGACGATTCAGGCTGACATAAGATAATAGTCGACAGAGGGGCAAGACAGGTGTGAATAAAACTGAAGGTAACGAGAAACCAGTTAAACAAGAAAATAAGGTTAATTCGGAGTACAATTCTTAACGTGTTAGTACGGAAGTATTTACACCAACAAACAACGCTTTCCATTTTTTAACAGGTACTGCCTGACATGAAGAAAAGCAGAACAACTTGCCTTCCAGAAAAGTCTTCAAAATAACAATAAAAGTACTGCCACGGTCCTTAAAAAGGATATGCAGCCAACTCATTTGTGTGTCTATCATTAATTTATTCAGTATATACCAAACCTATGGTAAGTTCATTGTTTGCACAACACAGTCGGTTAGTCGGGTCTTCATGCAATTTTCCATTGTTTTGAACAGGTTATTATTTTAGATACATTTAAAGAAAAGGTCGTTGAGGTGGAATAGAACATCATTATTAACAATAATAACCTACTGTTTCAATTCAGTGACCATAATAATAACCTGCTGCTTCTAAAACCATGGAAAAGTACGCGCTCGGTCATTATTTAAAAAAGGTCTCAAGGCTCACCGAATAACTAATGTTAAGTTTTCATGTTACATCTTTCTTTTAAATAATTTTGATCTGAGCTTTTCGTCTCTCTGACAATTCTGGTTTGGTATATACACCAAGAAAACTGCAACTTCTACTTAGTTACAAATTAAACCTTTTCAAGTGTCACATAGAAAAATGTCACAATCTAAAACAACAAAGCACAAAAGTTAGGTAAAAAAGGTAAGTAGCAAGGTAAGTTTATTGATATAGTTTCTTTTTTTGCCCTGGGGACTAAGTGCTCCGCCCAGAGGGGGGAGAGCCCTGGGGACTAAGTGCTCCGCCCAGAGGGGGGAGAGCCCTGGGGACTAAGTGCTCCGCCCAGAGGGGGGAGAGCCCTGGGGACTAA